AATTTTACAAAAGATCCCGTCTAGGCTCATCAAAGCGACTCAACCATTCGAACTAATTAGCGTCGATTTTAAAGGACCCCTGCCTTCTGTTACTTGAAACCGATATCCCCCTACTAGTGTTGGAAATTTTTTTCGTTTTCCGTTTACATTTCCCCGTGCAGAAGCATCTGCATCTACCTTTACTAAATGTCTATGTGAATTATTGCCTATTTTGGTATGCCTGCACATGTACATTCGGATCGTGGCTTCTCATTCACACATAACGAACTGTCCACATCGCTACATGACAGAGAAGTTTGCAGAAGATGAAAAAATGCATATATTCCCCACGGAAACGGGAAAGTCAACGGGCCTCAATAGGACACTTTGGAGCGCAACCCAGCTCAGACAAAAGACGATAAGCCATCAAATCTGTCACTGGGAGTCGGCTCTATCAGAAGCCTTCCACTCTATACGGTCCCTTATCTGCGTCTCCACGAATACCGCTCCAGATGAACGAGTGTTTCGGTTTTACCGTCAGTCATCCCGTGGTTTGTCTACACTAACTTAGCTAACTACTCCAGGACCTGTTTTACTGAAAAGATTTGGCAGTGCCTCAAAGTATGGATCAATCGTGGGGAAGTCGAACTTATAGACTGCAGTCCACATAACATACATGGTCGTTTTCCCGGCGGGAAAGGAGGCACCTTATCCATCCGCCATTTCGCTCCTTGTGGTGATCGTACACGACAATGAGTTCACGCGTACAGCATCTAGTGAAGGCAATGACGCTAGGCTGTTTCGGAAGTTCATCATCATCATCATCATCATCATCATCATCATCGACAGCATGACATCAGTGTTCAACACCGATGCTTCACTGCCGTACAACCATGACTTATTTGAAAGCCTTATTGTAAAGAAAACAATAAAGGTGGATGGGGGAGGGACTTAGTGCTAGCCTAACACAATCATTTCGACGTGCCGACACCTCCAGAAATTCACTCAGGCAATCTGGATAGAAACTGACAACAAGAACGCCACTAACATCGGTTGGCAGCCATATCTTCTAGTGTCTCCAACCAGGCACAGTGAGGATCACGCGGTCCCCATCCTGGAAGGCG